TCATTTTCTAAACATTCAATGAAAGCTTCAATAGATGAGTGATTTGCATTCAGACTTCTTACATTAAGTAAGCAGATATTTATACCTCTAGTTTTTATTAAAATTAATATGTGTTGTGTATGTATCAATAGACGAAACGTCGGGATATAATAATTCCCAAAGACAACGGCCAGAAAGCCAGAAAACCAATAATAATTATACTGAGGACTTCAGCAGTGAAAGTCTACGCTCATTTTTTAAACGAACTAAGTTATAAATTATAAATTTTTATAAATAAGCATATTTTTAATGACACTTTAATAATTAAATAATTAACATTATACATAATCATAAATAAGTATTTAATAAATTTACAAATTTTAAATTTGCATGTCTTTTCTTTTCATGCAGAAAAAAGGGAGCAGGGAAAAGGTGAGTATTTCTAATGATGTACCTATATTTCCCTAATTTTACACAAAATTATTATTTTTTTTTTAATTTTAAAATAAAAGCATTATAATCTGAATTTGAAATTGGAAAAATATGAGCTATAAGTACATTCATGGAATTGAGACAGTTACAGAATTCTTGCAAAGTAATAAGCTAAAGGGTAGCTGTTACCTATCTATTTTTTAAGTAGCCCTTTTACGCCTTTTAATTTGATAATAATATTACACGCGTTCGTATTTAACGGTATTCGTTTAAAATTTAATTGTTAAAAATTAATCTTACCTTTTTTGCAATGGGCTAATTTATCAAAAGTCATTTTTCAACTCGGAGGCAAATAAATCGCACCCGAAAGTATTCACATTTCGGTTATATTTCAATTTCCTAAAATCTACGTAAAATCATTTCAACTCATATTTCTTCTTCCACAGACACCTAGATTGGGTAGCATTCAAAAATAATGGAGTTAAATAAAAAATTGATTCCAAAGAATTTCTACCTTTCGAATTTTGATATAAAATACCGAAAAGACTTAATTCATTGTTCTTTAAATATAACGAATATTATGGAATTTTAAATAAAAAACTATCCCAATAATTAATTAAAATTCTATTAATCTAAAAATAAAATTATTCGGCGTTAACAAAATGAGTACAGTAGGTCGAAATTCCCATAAACTCTCAAAATTATTTACTCGATACAATCACGTTCGTCAAACAATATACGGGCTTCACTAAAACAGAATATTTAATTAAAGCCTCATTCATTTCCCTTTAAAACCGATACCAGTGTACTTTAAAGGATACCGCTCTAGTTAATTACGTACAACATCATCGAGTCGGATTTGCAAACAAACAGGTTGTTGCAGTCCTGATTTGCAATTAACATCCTCATCAGTACACTTGCAATGTTATTTACAACGTTAAATGAAAGCAGGAATTTTGAAACAACCAATATCGAATAGCGAGATATCAAAGCTTAGTTACAAACTCATAAAGTTGTAATGGAAGTATGCACAAGTTGTGAAAATATGATATGATGGAATAGCTATCATTTTCACGGTTGGCTTCGTATGGTTAAAGTCTACCACAATATGTACTTGACTATCTATATATTTCCATTTTTCTCGTAAATAGTGACTTTGACAAAAAATATCATCAGTGCAAAAAAAAATTATGTGGTTTTATGAAACCACGATGCAAGTGAAACTTTTCGAAGTGCAGGCATTTAATTGTAAATTTTCGAAAAATTATTCGATTAAGGTATTAAAATTAAAATTGCGTTCTTAATCTTATCTTTATGATTGAAAAATGCGAATAATAATGGGAAATCAATAGTAGAAAAGATATGCAACTGGCTGAAAATCACCAAAATTGCGAATTTCAAGATTGGTTTTATGCCAACAAAAGTTTCAAGCTATAATGATGACTCTTAGTTTATACTGTTGCAAAATTTGTACGTTAATAAACTTTGACAGG